CTGTTCTTGTGCATGCTTGATGTGACAGCCGCACTTGGGGCTTGTTTCAGGAAATAGGTGCATTTGTTGCATTCATCCGTCTTCTCCGGAGCCAACCAAATGCCTCTGTAAATAGTGTCTGATCCTTTTCATTATCTGCAGTTGCTCTGGATCTGCCACTCTGCCTCTGCAAGGTTAGCCATTCACCTTCAAAGGCAGCAGCCTTCAACAAGTGAAGGAGCAGCAGGCTGGGAGTGTCTTTAGGCAAAGTAACATGTGCTAGAGGAGGGGCTGTGTGCTTTCGCTTTGAATGTGTGGTTCTATCTCCAAATGAAAGTGATTATGTTTGAGAGAAAGGAATTTATTTATTAATGCAGAGGCTCAATTTAACTGCATTTTGTTTTCCAGCATGCAAGTAAAGACCCCAAAGATGGGAGAGACAGCAGAGATCAAAAAGAATCCAAGGAGGAAGGCAACAAAAACGTCCTGGAGTTTGGGAAGCCGTTGCCGTTACCCTCTCTCCCGGGCCTTCACCAGTCACTACCTCAGAACCAGAGCTATGTGGCCACCACGAAGTCGCAGACAGGTAAAAAGGACAGACTTAAAATTTCTAACAGCACCCACCTCTCAGATGTGTGTGTATGTGGTTGAGTGGAAGATGAGGCAGGTTAACAAGGGCTTGAAACCTCTGTTAGTACCTTTTTCCCACTGAATCTCCTTCAGGGTTTACTTTCCTGCCGGTATCAGTAGGGCTGCTGCCATAGACCTTGTTTGACAGATGCCGTTTCATCTAGCCACTTCTCTGCAAATGGCTGTTGCACAGCAAGAGTGATGCTTGTGTCCTCTGGACTCCTTCTGGTCACCTCTGGATGTTGTATAGGGTACATTCTTGCAGTCCCCTGTTAAAGTAGCCTCCCAAGTGCAGTCCACCAGTTTCCTGCTCCGCAGGGAGCACCTGCCATGCAGTCCTTCCTGTGCTGCCTTGTTTCATGGGGTGCAGGTCCCTCCCAAGTGGTGTGGGAGGTAGGCATGCTCCGTCAGGCACCACCACACTGAGGATCACTCTTCTGCTAAAAGTTTTTGTTAGAGGAGACACTTTCATCCCATCTCCTTGTGATATTCTGAAGATGTTTCGATGTTTCTATCAGTTCTGAAGGACTTTGTATATCACCGCAACAACTGCTTACCATGAACTACAGCCTTATAAATAAAATTATTTGGGTTAACAGAATTTTTTTTGAGAAGTCTCTTCATAGATTTTTGGTGAAGTTTCATCATAGTGAGAGATGAAGAAATGCTTTGAAGAAACAGGCTGTACAGCTGCAAATGGTAATACTGGTGCTGAAGCTGGCTGTTCCCTGCTGTACGCTATTCTTAAAAGAGCCTACACTAAGCTTCCCTCTGATGTGCATTCACCAAAGACAGCATCAGGCAGTGAGGTGTGATGACTGATTTGATTAGAAGGCCAGGGGGGAGACTTAACAAATTAAGACCCGATCAGAGTAGTGAAAGGAGTCAAACAAACTTCCATAGTAGGTGTGAAATGAGGTTAGATGGTAAATGGCTCTGTATTTAAGGTACCTTTTCCCTGTGTGTTCTTCAGTTATTGTACAATCACTTTCAGTGTAAGTTGGTATTATTAACCTTGCAGTATCTATTTGAGCAAGTTGGATTCTATTCAGCCTCCTACGGCATCAGCAATACTACCAAACGCAAGCTAATTTAAGGATTTGATGTTGTGTATGGTGATGTAGGGGCCAGAAGGAGCATGGAGAGGATACTCAGAATTTGGGTGGGTTTGCAGCACTGGCAGAAAGCTCTTTGTGTGTTTGCACGTATGTGTGTGTCATCTTTTGGTTGACTTGTAAATAAATTACTTTGAGTGGGAAGCCTTTATCTCAGATAATGGCCTCAAATGTGGTTTCCCTCAGTACAGCCTATACTCTCTATCCCTTCTTTTTATTCCTGAGCAAACTTTGAGTTTCTTTTGCTTCTCTTTTCCAGCTGCTGCAGTATCTCGGAAGAAAAAACGGAGAATGGGAACCTATAGCCTGGTTCCCAAGAAAAAGACCAAAGTGTTAAAACAGAGAACAATGATTGAGATGTTTAAGAGCATAACTCATTCCTCTGCGGGTGCCAAGGTGAGGGGAGCACTGAGCCCACTGGACATGTTTGTTGTCACCATAAATGTCCCTTGTCCTGGCACACCAACCCCATGTATAGGTGCAGGAACATGCTGGCTTGTTAGCATCAGCATCTTCCATTCTGAGTCTACATCTTCTCTCTGGTGACAGCATCCTGCCTGTAGCAACCTTGCTGCTTTGAAAATGGCTCTTCAAGGGTGGCTGTTCAGATACCAACTCTTAAACAAACGTTTTCCAGTGAATGTTCTCCTTCTGTCCCATGAGTGCTGTGGAACTGGAGAGATTTCAAGCATACCCCATGTGGTAACCTTTTTGTTTCAGAGACCTAAGGTAACTGTCTAGTATTGCTGCTTGAGGATGTACGGCAAAATTACTAGTTACTTAAAAAAGCTTTAGACAGGGACTCACTCCTGATCAAATTCTGCTTTTGCTGCAACCCACACCCTGAAGTTTTGGTCTTTGAATTCAAGGAAAACACTGCTAGGCTTTCATGGAGTGGAACAAAAACCCCTCTCTCCAATATAACTTCCCTTTCCATTCCTTAGAAACCTTCTTGCACCCTTGGTATACCACAGTGGAGCTGCCCTTCCATGTTTGAATTAGACTGCAGGGGTCTGTCTGGAATGACTCCTTGTTGAGGAGGTTGACAGGGTTAGGTGACATGTGGCCGGTTCTCAGGCTGGCTTTGCTGGCAGCATTGAAGAGCTCTGGAGGAACATACAGCCAGCCCCTGGAAGCTTTAAGGCCCCTAGCACAGAGGCGGTCTGGGATAGATTCAGCTGCTCTGTCCTGTGAATTGATGTTGTCTTTGTGGCTCTTGTGCTTGGATGACTTTCAGAGTGAAAAGGACCTGGGTGATGCCAGCCCTCACGTGAATGGGGAAAGCATAGATGTAGACTCGGAAGAGGAAGACTCTGATGAGTTGGAGGAGGAGGATGATCATGGAGCAGAACAGGCAGCTGTGTTTCCTGCAGATGATAACAGGACCTCTAAAGACAGTGCATCTGATGCAGACAACGCCAGAAAGGTATTCACATGCCCTGTGCAGGACTTGAGGGAGTGGGATAGGACACTGCTTGCATGCATGGGGTAGGAGTGGCACAAGTTGAGGCAATTTCTAGGTTTTCTTAGCCTGCATGATGGCAGAAAGCTCGGCAGTGGAAGTGAGGCTTTTTGATGACCATTTCCTGCTCCCCATTGCACCTGTGAGAGTCTCTCCACCTACCCCCAAGCTTCAGCCTTGCTACATAAGTCTGTCCAGTATACATGCAGAACACCCATCACATTTAGTTATGGGATTCACGGAACCAGTAAGAGACGTTTTCCTAATCTTGCTTGTAACAGACTGGTAAAGCACTAAAATTGGTTTAGTTCATTTTTTTGCCAAATCATGTTACATAGTATAGACATGAGGCTGTTTCTGGATAATTACAGAAGTTAAGATTTGGTTGGAAAACTTCCTTCTGGGGTCAATTTTTTTTTTCCCCTGTACCATCCTCATGGATGTATCATGACGTGCATTAACAGCCTTGGAGTTCTTGTCATGGGAGAGGAAATTCTGTTAGTGCACATGCAGGCTGGTTCTGGGTGCTCGGAGCAGCAGGATGGTGGGGGATGCTCTGCTGGGTGGGGGGCACAGCAGGATGATGGGGGAATGCCCTACTCTGAGAGACCTGACCTGACTGACTCTTTCTGTTCTTGGGCAAATGGTGGCTGCAGATTGATGATGGCGAATCTGAGGAGGAACAGGAGTCTGGAGAGTCTGGAGAGGAGGAGGAAGATGGAGATGAGTCTGACTTGGTAAGCGTGGCTGCTAAATGTGTCTTTCAGCCTTTGTCCTGTTGATAATAATTTCCCCTTTGCACTGCTGCCAGAGAGAGAGAGAGGTGATGTAGTTTCATGTCTCTTGACAAAACTCACTCTCTGAAACCACCCACACACAGAGTATTGTTTTCCATAAGGTGCTTAACCCTGATCTGTGATACAATTAATTGCTTTCTGATGCTAACTAATGGTCTTTCGTTTGTTGTTTTCAACAAGGTGTTGGCAGCTTTTAATCATTTGAATGTTAGTAGAAATTTTTAAGGGTGCTTAAATTCTTCAGGTGCAGACTTGGCAGGTGGTAGGAGCCAGCAATATTTTCTTAACAACCTGAAGCTCAGCATGGCCTTTTTGGAGCCCAGGTGGAGTTGTTCACAAATCCATTGGCCCAGCCCACAGCCTAAATTCACATTGATTTGACATGCCACCTCATGGTACCAGATGAGCCCTCAGCTCTTATCAGGGAGACGTACAAAAAGCATGCACACAGACAGACAGACACACTCTCCCTAGGAGGTTCTGTTTAGTGCTAGAGCCAGACTTTCACCAGCTGTTGGTGATTTTTAGATGGCTGGTGAAGAGAACCTGATTTTTATTTAAATTGTTTTTCATTGATTATCTCTGTCTCCCACCCTCCACTTTAAAATTTTGCTCCCTTTCCACAGCACCTCAAGTTGAGGAGCCAGCATTTAAGGCACCCCAAGTCTTCAGTGACCTTGAGAAAATTCTTGGCTTCATTTTCTTGAGTTTTGAGCTGAAGGTAGAAATGACTATACCAACTGAATTGTTGAAGCTCTTCAGGGTCCTGCTCCTTATGCTCTGCCACTATAGGAGCCAGAGAGGACCAAGCAGCAGGGGCTGTGTAGCCTGCCCCTTTCTTTGGGTAGCTGAGGCCAGTCTGTAGCATTAGCTCAAACCAAGGGTTGAGCTTGCAGTCAAGTCCAAACTCCCAAGTCATATCTCCACATCCTAGACGGTGGTTTTTGCTCTGTTCATATCTGGTGAGTCAGTCAGTTCCCCAGACGGAGACTGGCTGAAACGCAAACCTCTCCCCCACAAGCAGTGTGATGCAATTGGTGCAAGCCACGTGGCGGGGCACAACCGAGCCCACGCTTGGGGACGGTTATCAGGGGCGGTGTAGACAAGGCATAGAGCTGCCCCGGAGAGCCAGCGCTCAGCACCACCTTTGCCCGGCTTCGTTCACTGTGATAACAGGGCATGGTGCAGCATCGGCTTCCTCTCAAGGTAGGCCATGAAGGTAGGGCCTGATCCAGCCACTGTTAGTGGTAGCAGGAGGGTTTTCATAAGCTTCAGTGGGAGATGGATAAGCATCAGGAGCTGGCGGTTTCAGTTTGAACGTGAATTTTATGGTTGGTGCCGTGAAGACTGCCTTACAGGGTTGGGGTACCTGATTCCCAGTTTTGATGTTGACTTTGAAAACCCACCCCAGAGAGCTGTATTTTTTAAACCAAAACCCAAACCCTGTTTAGATTCGTATGTGTCTGAATATTTGCTGCATGATTAGTCCATGCTGATGTGATGCCCCGTACCTTGCTCCGGGAAGGGGCTGGTCTGCTATTGTAGAGTTCAATTCCCCAGTGTCCATCTCAGCACTGTAAGGTGGCTCTTTAGGTGCAAGGCAGATTTTTGTTAGCATTTTCTAGCATAACTGTGGAGCAATGTGGATGTTTTAGTTCGTGAAAAATTCCAACTTTTTCTGGGGAGAAGCTAAAAGTCTGGTGTGCTTGCATACTTGCACTGCTGCGTGGAGGTGCTCAGCTACTACTGCGATGAGTGTGGTGTAAGAGCCTACATGGAAGAGAAAGTGAAGCATGCACTATTGAAATGACAGGAAATACACCCACACGTGTGCTTGTGTTTCCTTTTGGGTGCTGTAAAGACATCTTAGCACCACTTGATTTCAAACCCCCAGTCCTTAAGGCCTTTTCACATAACTCAGGCTGCAAGAAGGCTCTTTTTGCATGGGTGCAAAGGACTGCTGGGATGCTGATACCAACATGCCTTACATGCATGTGGCCTCTCTGGTTATTCAGAGCTCAGAGTCCAGCATCAAGAAGAAGCTGCTGAAGAGGAAAGGAAAGACGGACAGTCCATGGCTGAAACCCACCCGCAAGAGGAGACGGAGGAATAAAAAGAAACAAGCCAGTGTGCTAGGTAACTAACTGTGTTTTGTTCCTTAACTACACAGAAATTAGCCTTCCAGGTGGAGGGGTAAGGACCTAAGGCCCACAAGGCAGTGGCTGTCTGCAGAGCTTACTCTCCCTTTACAAGGATGGGCTGTATGATAAACCAGGGTGTGAACTTGCATCTCACCGGCAGCAACTGCTGGTGTGCACACTTCAACAGCAGAATAAATATGAAGTGGCTTTATACCTGGCATGCTGAAGGAATATTTTTTTGTTCATGAACTCCCTTTATTTTAGAGTATCCAAAAAAGACTTCGTGGACTCATGTTCATGTGGACTCATGTCCATGTGGACTCATTTCCCATGGGCTTGGGGAGTGTGGTTAGATGCAGAAGGGAAAGGAAGAACCACCCCAGAGTGGTGCTCAGTTGCTTTTGTATGGATGTTTGACCAGCTGAATGGAATGTGCAGGTTATCTTTGCTTATTCTGAAAGCACCACGATGTTTGTAATTAGCTACCTCTGGCCCATCTCATGCTGTGGATGTTGTTCAGGTGATCATTCTTGTCTGATGTAAGCTACCCAGCACTCAAAAGAAGCTTTCAGTGGCCTTTGTCCTCTGAAAGCTGTGGGATGGGGAGAGCCAGGAGTGCAGGTTGGATCTCATTCTTCTTCTTCAGGAAAGGTAACAAGATGGGTACAAAAACCAAGTGGATAGTCTCTGAAGTGATGCCGTGCCTTCAGCTTTGTTATTAAGGTTTTACACATCCAATGCCATCAGTGAGTTTATTCTTCCATGTTTGCTAATTCTTTGCAAACAGGCCACTTTATCAGCAGATTTGTGGCCGCTTCTGAGCTAAATGACCATGTTTTCGCCTCTGGTCTGTGCCTGGGGTTTGTCAGTCATCTGGCTTGCTCCTCTTCCTCCCAAGGCAGCCCCTTTCTCAAGAAGTGGGGGCTATTGATCCCTTTCAGAACAAATAGCTAATTCTTAATTTCAGATGCAGACTGGTTTTCCACCCTTTCAATAAAGGTGGCCGCCAGTCTTTCAGGCTAATGCAAGTCTCCTGGCCAAGCCCAAGTGGGAGAAGCAAACCAGGAGAGAAAGCGAAGCGAAGGGAGTGTAAAGAGATGACAGTTCCTACGAAGGCTCCGAGGGGTCCCCACGCAATCTCTTCCCAGCGAGGGATCCCTCATGCAATCTTTTCCCAGCAGCACTTTGTTCACTTAGAGCCAGAACTTGGCTTTTATGTTTTTCCCCTCCCATTAAGCTGAATGTCACCTGTCTTGTCCTCTTCATGACGTACATGATTAGCCAGTTCGCTCTGCCTGGCCGGAGTGTACCTGGAGCCCTTTGCAGCAGGTCGGAGGCAGGAGGATGCGCTGAGCCCTGGTTTCATCCTTTCCTTGTGCCATTTAAGCTTCTGCTGCCGATGCAGTACGGCAGCAGGCAGATGTGCCTTTCAGAGGCAGAACTTATTTGTCTCTTTTATTCTGTTTCTGTTGTTGTTGTTGTTGTTACCTACCTAAGTGGAAGTGGAAAAACTGTCTGATCAGACAGGGAAGGAGATAAGAGATCAGTTGTGCCATGTATGCCCAGATGTTGCATTTTCATAATTCTATGTGCATCTGTATTCATGGCCTCTCTGAGGAGCCTGCATACTGCCTGCTCGCTTAAATATGGCCTTTACACCTGCACGTGCTTACACGCTATTTATTTTATTATTATTTTTTTTTTTTAGCCACGTAAATACGCTTGTGTTTCCATCTAGGTGCCGAAGCCTATAAACCATCTTTGGGAGGCAGAGAGGGCCCCGGCC